GTCTTCTTCCGTTTGTATTCTTGAATCGTCTAATTTATGGTATCATAGATTAGGACATGTAAACTTCAATTCAGTACAAGAATTGATGAATGAGAATTTACTTTCAAGTATGCATTTCAATGGTGGAAAATGCGAAATATGTGTAGGGGCAAAATTGGACAAAACACCATTTCATTCGGTTGAACGAATTGCAACACGTTTGGAACTTATTCACATAGATATTTGTGGCTTAAAGTTCATACAAACGAAAGGTGGTAAAAAGTACTTCATCACGTTCATAGATAATTGTACAAGATAATGTTATATATACTTATTGAGAAGTAAAGATGAAGCATTGAAAATGTTTAAACACTATAAAACTAAAGTTAAAAATCAACTTGAAAAACGAATAAAAATGATTCGTAGTGATAGAGGTGGAGAGTATGTTGCATCATTTGAAGAGTTTTGTACAGAACAAGGAATTGTTCACCAAATTACTGCTCCATATTCACCTCAATCTAATGAGGTTGAGGAACGAAAGAATCGAACCCTTAAGGAAATGATGAATGATATATTGATTAGTTCAGGCTTACCTTAAAACTTGTGGGGAAAGCTATTTTTTCGACTAATCATATCCTAAATAAAATGTCACACGAGGATAAGGTCGAGTCTCCTTATGAGTTATGGAGAGGTCGAAAATCTTCCTACAAATATTGTAAAGTGTGGGGCTATTTAGAGAAGGTACAAATACCTAAGCCTAAACAAGTGAGGATTTGATATAAGACAATTGATTGTCTTTATCAGATATGCTACTAATAGTAGTGCATATCGATTTTTGGTTTATAAATCAGAATTACTTGATGTACACAAAGGTACAATCATTAAATCAAGGAATGTTGTTTTCTTTGAAGATATATTTCCTTATAAGGAAAAGGAAACAAGTTCACACAAACGAACTTATGATGAAAAAGATGATGAAAATCTTCAAACAAATGAAGAGCCAAGGCATAGTAAGAGACAATGAATTCATAAGATGTTTGGTCCAAAATTCGTAACTCATTTGTTAGAAAATGATCATAGGACATTTGACAAAGCAATGTCCTTTCCTGAAGCGCCTTTATGGAAATAAGCAGTAAATAGTGAAATTGAATCCATCATGAACAACCACACTTGGGAATTGGTTGATCTTCCTCCGGGAAACAAAGCTTTAGGCTGCAAATGGATCTTCAAAAAGAAATTGAAGTCGGATGGATCAATCGATAAATACAAGGCTAGACTAGTAGCCAAAGGGTATAGACAAAAAAAAGATTTAGATTTCTTCGATGAAGACTGCATTTCTAAACGGTGAATTAGAAAAAGAAATATATATGGAACAACTGGAAGGGTTTGTTGCCCTGAGAAACGAGAAGAAGGTGTCCAAGCTTGTAAAGTCGCTTTATAAATTAAAACAGACGCTGAAACAATGGCACAAGAAGTTTGATATAACTATGATGTCAAATGGTTTCAACATCAACGAATGTGACAAATGTGTCTACGTTAAAACCACTCCTAACGAATATGTGATCATTTGCCTATATGTTGTCAATATGCTAATAATGGGAAATAACTTGAATGTCATTTCCTCGACAAAGAAAATGTTAACGAAATATTTTGACATGAAAGATATGGGAGTTGCAGACGTCATATTGGGGATTAAAATCTCTAAGACGCACAATGGATTGTCTAGCAGAGTTAATGTAATATAACCCACTATACTTAAGAAGTTTAAAGCGTATGGCAATAATCCTATTAAGACACCAGTTGACTTGGGAGTACATCTAGCCAAGAATATCGGTGAGCCTGTATCTCAATTGGAGTATGCGCGCGTTATAGGCAGTTTGATGTATGTCACTAAGTGCACGCGTCCAAATATAGCATACATAGTCAACAAATTGAGTAGATTCACAAGTAATGTGAACACTGTACATTGGAAGGCGTTGAACCGAGTTCTTAGATACCTAAGACACACGGTCAATCATGGATTACACTACTAAAGACATCCTACGGTGTTAGAGTGATATACCGATGTAAATTGGATATCTGATACGAAAGATTTACAGTCTACTGGTGGTTATGTGTTTACCATTGGAGGCGGAGCTGTGTCCTGGAAATCATCTAAACAAACGTGTAAGCTCGATCCACGATGGAGTCCGAGTTTATTGCTTTAGATAAAGCCGAAGAAGAAGCAGAATGGCTTCGTAATTTCCTTGAAGAAATTTCATGTTAGGGAAAATCTATACCAGTAGTTAACATACTTTGTAATAATCAATCGGCAATTGCAAGGGCACAGAATAGCATATATAATGGTAAATCACAATACATACGTCAAAGACATAATACCATTAAACAGTTGATATCGAATGGTATAATCTATATTCAATATGTTAAGTCAAAAGAGAATTCGGTAGATCCTTTGACGAAAGGACTTACTAGAGATCAAGTATACCACCTTTCGAGGGGAATAGGCCTAAAGCCTATTGAATAAGAATCACGATGGCGGAAACCCAACATTGTAGATTGGAAATCTCAAGATTTTGGTTCAATGGGACAACTAAATTATAAACAATTCGGGGTAAAGCACTTATTCTCATTCCTAAAGTGTAAAAGTGATATGTTAAGCATGTATAAGGATAAGTTAAAAACTTTTAATGATTCATGTACCTTAAAAGAAGAAAGGTAGGAGATCACATATGTAAGTGTGAAGTGGGGTCGCTTCTACGAGAATTTGAGGTTTAATTCTCCTAAAGCACTTATAAAATCAAGGGCTTTTTAGGGCCAAAATGGATACAACCATGAGAACCGAAATGATTAGATGAGTTATGGTGTTGGTACAGTTGCCTAAATTTACACAAACGGTTGGATGGTTCAAGACATCATGTTTACCAACTAGCCCAATAAATTCAATTGTATTCAACTAAGGAAGGTTCAGAGCCACAAGCTACCTATCCTGATGCTATGACTTGTCACACGAACTCCGTTGTTAGAGTTTGCATTCATTTGCATTTGTAGTGTATATCGCGAAATTTTCATTCATGTAGGGGATTGTTGGAAATTGGTTTGAAAGATTGAAATTTGGTTAAGTGATAAAACCAAAACTTGGAAAAAGTAACTTTCGTGTCAACTTCGGTCAATATTCAGACTTGATTCGATTGTCAAATTACAAAAGTAAATAGAACAACTTGTTCTACTCGTCGAGTAGATCGTCGTGGTATATTTGAAATCTCAAAATCAATTCTGGATGAATGAGAAATTGCAGTCCAAAGTTGGAAAAAAACAGAGAAACTTGTTTGGAAAATTGATTAAGGCTGTTGCTAGCTTATGGTCTGGCTGTCGCTCGAGCGACAGGCTAGCGAAAAAGTCATTGTTTTATCGCTCAAGCGAGGCGATGGCGATAGGCTAGTCACAGTGAATGGTACGACCTTTGGCAAGAGTTGCTGAGCTTTCCTTACTATATTAGCTATGATGTCGTGTCTCTAGTCTCACATCAGATTGGGAAATGTTCACATACAATTCTCAAGCTATACTACTTGTCCCGCTAGGATTTCAATTCATTTAATTCCAACATGTGTCAAAAAAAATTGAAATTTATGATTCAAACCGACCAACCCAACCCAACCGACACATAATTGGGTTGAGTTGGGTTGGGTTTCAACATTTACATGGGTTGGATTTCGAACAAACCGACAGTGTTGGGTTGGGTTTGGGTTTGGGCAAAAACCGACCCAGCCCAACCCACGCCCACCCCTACCTACCGTTACTCTGCCGAAATTTATACAGAATTTTTAAGGCAATTTAAATAATTTTTCGACGTTATTTGTCACTCCATACACGAAATTTTCCAACAGGTTCTTGGAGCAGCAAAGGTGGTGGTCGATGTAGGTGGTGATGGTGGTGGTGATGCGCGTCAATGGATGGGTCTGTTTGGGCGACGACAAAGCAAGGAAGAAGTAGATAATTGGATAGATTTTCTAAAGCAGTAAATTGGAAATATAAAAGAAATAAGTAGTAATATGGAAATTATGCCCTGTTTTAACCCCCCAATTTTTTGAAAATGCGTGGAAAGTCTTAAAAATTTTTAATTTACTTGTAAGTCTTTTTCATTAAAATAACGTGCGATTGAAATGTATTTTTAAAAAATGAAGTTGAAATAAAAATTCTAGGATATGTTTGGTACCAATTCTCATTTTCAACAGTAAATCAATTCTCATTTTCAACCACACTTTCTTCAATAAAATAATATTTTGTATCACATCAATAATCTTATCTTCTTTTTCAACCACACATTTTCCATCATATCACTATTCAAAATCAATTCTTCCCCCAAAAAATCTCTACCAAACACATACCTAAATTGTCAAATTAGGTAGTAGGTGTAATTATTCATTTATTTTTCTGGTCCAAGCTTTTTGTGACTAGCTGGCTGGAGCCTAACCCAGCCCGGTCCAGAACTAGACTTGCCTTGATTAACCTAATTAAAAAATATTTAAAACTAATTTTTAAGACTACTTGAAATGGGTATTGATATAACTCGAATTTGATTGAACTCATTTTGTTAGTACAATAACATAAAAGTCTGAAATTTTATTCTAGTACACATGTTGTACTTAATTAATATAACAGTATTAATCTGTTCAACCTCGTCCATGTTCCACACAATTCATTTAACTAGTCAAATAGAATTATGTGACTTTGTCGAGACTCGAGAGTGACAAAAATGTAGGTGATAGTAGATGATTGGATAAAAAATTGACTATCTTTTAAACCGTTCAATAATAAAATGTCATGTGATATTATACTAAATTTTTTGTCAACCTATTTAACATGGTAGCATAATTGAGTCGAATATGTTGATATATATAAAGGTATCAAATTTTAATCACTTAATGCTAGTACGGATGTGCTGTACTTAATTAACAGTACTGTATGCGCTATAACGCAGTACAACGCCAGGCTTGAATTTGAATTTTCTTTTGTTCCAAACGATGCTTCGAGTCCTTGTGTTTCTCGTCGCAGTCGCGTTTTGTGGGCTGACCCAGATCGAACTAGTTGACTCGCACGAGGAGTCCGGTGAATGGCACTGTGATGCGGACCCGGGAATCCGAATCCAGGCCGAGTTCAAACCCGGCATCATCACTCTTGATGGCCACGTGGATGACTGGAAGGACATTGACGGCTCTGAGTTCTCCCTCTTGCCTGCCCTGGACCCAGATGCTGATAAAGAATACAATTCTGGGAAAATGACTCTCAAGGTAATCTTAAAATTCGTTGAGGCTCAAACGAATCAAATTAGTTATTTGAGCGTTTTCATGTTGATTCTTCGGGTTTCACGAGTAGCCCAGAGTTTTATTATTATTGTCATATTTAAACGATGCTGAATTTTGGGTTCTCTTTAACAGTCAATATGCATTTTTTCTCCGTGTTCATATTTTTTCAGTTTTGATTTTTTGTAGGTGGTGCATGACGGGAAAGAGGCATTTTTCATGTTGCAGGTTAATGGGAACTATGCATATACAAAAGGGTATAGTTTCAAACTGTAGATGTAATTTATGGAAAAATGTTCTGGGATTTTTTTTTTCTGAATTAAATTTTAAATTTTTTTGATATAGATGTGAGTTCCATGTCTCTATCCTTTGGTGTTTTGCTCTTTTCCCTAGACGGGTCAAGCTCGTGTTTGATCTTTTTGACAGATGAGGACAATGTTTCTTTTTAGTCAGATTGGAATGGGATAGGTAGCTTTTGTTTACCTTTACTGCTTTGCTCATATTGACTCGAGTTATTGCACGAGGGTCCTCCCCCGAACATCTGGTTAGATTGATATGAGCACAATCAGATAAAGATATTGGTGAGCAAACGCTTGCCCAGTATGACGTCTTGAACAGATCCTGTAGTTATTGGAGAGCAATCGTTTTTGTTAGCTTTCAATCAGGTGTTACGCCGGCATTTTCTTTCTGTGTTTACGTCAATATTGCATCTGGGAATAATTTCCTACTTTTCCAAAAAAGGAAATATGCACATGACTTTTTTTATAGAATCGTCGAATTTTGGTTACCAGTTCTAGACCTTGTTGAGGCAATCTCGAGTTATAATTACGCCTTCCACTTTCCCGTATCCTGCAGAGAAAATAACAAATGCCCATCAATTGCTCTTATGTTTCAGATTGGTGAAAATGCAACCTATCATAGAGTAAGTCAGTAGTAACTGTTCTTTAAGCTTTTCTCTTGTTTTGGGCCTTTCTTTCTTTATTTATTATAAATGTGAAGTGTAATTAAAATTAAGCTGAAAAATCTATGTGCTGTAAGATGGGAGGATGCAAAGAAACACCAGATAAATGCACGAACAAGACTTGCCATGGCCATGAAGTTGACATTATGCATTTCTCAATAGGAAATGCTATTCCTGGAAGGCTTTATGGGGCAAATCCAGTTGACAAAAGAGAAGGAAATGGAGGTGACAGGTGATGTAGTGTGACAAATTATATTGCAGTAGGTAAATGAGTTTCATGCGTTATGTCACTCAGATATTTGTTTTTTATATTTTGGTCTCGACAACCAGGTTTGGTCATTTGGTTGATGTGTATGCTTGGAACCCACACTGTCGATACCTTGATGGTCTTGGGCCTTCAGGTATGCTTGGAACTTGTTTTCTATTAGGCGGAAGCTGGAAAGTATAAATAAGCTACTAAGATCGTGTTCCTAAACTTAAAGTTACATTTAAGTAACTTTTTGCCATGTTTTTCTAGAATTTTTTTTTTTTTTTTTTCAATGTTTGGTTCAAAACTTGCTTTCTATAAGTGGTACTTTTACTCTTCTTTTAAGCTTAGCCATACATGCTCACATAGCTCCCTTAGTTATTAATCCAGTAGTTGTTATACTTATAACAGAGTGAAATTTTTTTGTTTCTTCATCAAAGATCAGATGGTGTGTAATCTATAGAATAAAATTTCCCAGATGGCAATTTTGCTCATATTTGACGACCTGACTCGGTTATCTGCAATGTTTTCTGCCAGTTAACATGAAAGAAGGCATCGCACGGAATTCACGTGAAACCTAACGTTTTGTTTTGTCACTCAACCAAATCAAAGATTTTTATGGTTCATAGCCATATCTCTTATAGCTGATTATCGGTAACATGTTTTCTTAAAATACATTATTGTACTTCAGAACCATTTTCTCAGTGAAAAAATTTAGATTTCCTGTATAGTTGCAAATGAATTTATCTACTCTATAAATATCATTTTTGACCTGACACAGCAATATATATATAGTTTGTTATTACTTACCGTGATGCTTATGCTTTTTTCTCCTTCAAATCAGGCAATGACACCAGTGCTCAAAATGATTGGCAAGGAGCATGGTGGCATAGTAGCTTGATTGATCACTCTGGTAAGCTAATTGTATTTTGTTTCTTCTATATTTTGGTCTTTTGTGCAATATATTTGTTCTACTTCTGCATTCTGCATATATTTGGATACCATTAGCTGTTTGCTGGGCCACATAACTAAATATTCTGTCGAAAATTCAAAGCCAATTTGAGGAAGTTCTTGATTAATGTTATATGGAATATAAATTAACTGCATTTTTCTCGACAAATCTCTACATTCGAAGCGATTTTTAGTTCTTTTAGATTGTGAGTCATGTTAGGTGCTTTCTTTATATGGTAAAAACGTTTTCAGCACAAAAACTTATTATTTCCTTTTTTTTCTTGTTCTACGGCTGCGACCGGCGTTGCTTTTGGTATCCTTCCTAGCTAATAGATTTCTTACATTTAATGATTCAGCGCTTGTTTGGCAAGTGTTTAAATTATAAACACTTTTGGTGAAACCACTTTTTATGTACACATTTCGTGGACTTACAAATACTATCCACTTATCCACCACTCATTTCCATCTGTATAAAATAAAAACTGAATATAAACAATTCCCGAACATGCTTTTAGTCTTCATTTTAACTAGGTTCTGTGCTTAAAACTTCGACAGATTTTTCTGTCATTATTTCAGAATTTAGGTATCCTGATCAGTGTTTTCTGGGACAATAGTCATGCTTTGATTTGTGATATATACACTTGAATCAATCAGGTTTCGTGGAGGAAGATAGCCCATATGCTTCGAACAGTCAAAAAGGAACATATTATTTTGAATTTTCAAGGCCTTTGAGAACCATGGATCGAATTCAGCAGGTATGTTTTCTTTGCAGCTAATGAAGCAATTTACTACTTTGACTGAATGAAAAACAAGAAAGGAAAGACTGGAAAATTGGAAACTGTTTCTTAGTAGCTTTTCATGATTCCTTTATGCAAACTAAAGGATATCAGTCTGTTGAACTGCTTATACTATCTCTAGTTTATGGACCGACTTCAAAACAAAATGGGAATCCCTCGTATTGTTTTTCTAGCCAATGAGCATGTTTGGCTAAGCTTAAAAGTTTTCCTATAAATTGCCAAGTAAGCTGCAAAATAAGTAAATTTTCTTTTCATCAAAATTGAAAATAAGTTACTTTAGACATTAAGATGAGAGTTACTTTGAATACTAAGTTTTTTTTTTTTTGGAAGAAAAGGGTCATTTCTCTGTTTGGAAACAAAACTTACTTCAAAATAACTTTTACTAATTTAAGCTTAATCAAACATGCTGGTCTGAAGTTATATTTGCATAGCAACCGATATTGACTGCATTGCTGTGTTGATACAGGATGCGCAGTTCACAATCGGGAAATCAAGCAAAGTATCTGCAGCATTCTGGTACCCAGAGGACGACAAACCATGGCACGGTTCTGCGCACTATTCGATTAGCTGTGATTGGATATCTATGGATTTTACACCGGGCAGTTCCAACCTCCCCAACGTAGAACAAAGAAGCCCATGGGATGCTGCCACAGCCTTTTCTCTTCTTTTTTCTGTAGTGGCTTTTTGCGTGTCTATTTTTATAGGGCATCGAGTTTCTTCAGCCGGTAGTAGGGCTGTCAACTTTGCACCTATAGATAATCTTTAGTTTACCTGCTTACACGTACAAACCACGAGCTCTCTTTTGGGATTGGGATTGTCTTGTTTATTACATTTGTCAATTGAAATTCACTTTTTTACTATGTAAGAGCAACTCCCTAAAATAAATATAAAGCCCCTGTTTGATTCAAATTATTCTCTCATTATCATTCTTTTATTCATTTTTAACCACACATTTTTAATAAAATAATATTTTTCATTACATCAATAAATTTTCTTTCTTTTTCAATCACATATTCTTTATCATATCAACAGTAAACATACATTTTTACTCTCAAAATGTGCACCAAACTGAGGCAAAATGTGCTTTAGATCTTCAAAAAAGTTGAAAAGCTCTCCAGTGGATAGATGCAAAGAAAATGTAAATTGTATTTTTCGACAGAAAATCGTAAAAAAAAAAAAAGATCTAAATTAATTTATACCCAATTTTACACTATCATTGGAGGGGTCATAAGTTGTTCAATAATAGTTTCTAATTATACATAAATAATGGTGAAATATGAAATTACGTTTTAGATGAAAGGAGGATCCATCATATAAACTTGATGGGAAGTTTTTGTAATTCTTGAAACAAGAAGGGTATTTCTGTAACTGTTATAAACTTCAGGGACCTTTCTTAATAAGAAAAATGTAAGGAACAATTTTCGTTCGGTCCAACGAATTATATCGGGCGGTGGCTGTGACTTTTACATTTCAACTGAAAATTACTCTCCACTCAAGTAAAAGTAAACAAGCTTCGAGAGATTAAATTCAGGAATTGCGATAATTGGAAGGAAAAAAAATTACAAGTGGAGTTCAATTCAGATCGAATTTTCTACGTTTGGACTAGAAAGGAAAATTAATTAAGGTATCGACTCTTATATTTATTTATTTTTTTTCGATTAGATTTAGTTTGTAATAATATTTCTATAAATTATGTGTGTTTCTGTAATATAAGACTGATCTTTTTTTATTTTTTTGTGATTGCTATTTGTTCGCCTTTTTTAAAGTAGTGGATTCTGTTTTTTAGATGTAATTGAGGTTGTAATTTGAAATGATTTCCATACGAAGTCCTTTAAATTTCAGATCGTGGATTTATTATTATTATTATTTTTGAAAAATTATAATTGGTTGACTGGTTCTCGATGTATTCAATTTGATATGTGAATGTGAATGTGAATGTGAAAATAGCATTTAGTGCTTTGATATATTCAGTTTGATATGTGAATGTGAAAATAGCATTTAGTGCTCTGAATTCCTATCAATGATAGCTGGTTTTCTTCTCGATGTTCAGAAATTTGAAGTGTTTATTGTAGAAGTTCAATGGCAAGGATCAAACCTCAAACTCTATTGCAACAGAGCAAGAAGAAGAAGGGACCGAGTCGAATCAGTGTTGCTACCACTGTAATTTACGGCATCGTGGTTGTTGGCATGGTGCTTTTCATTTTTGCCACCTGCAGATACTTGTCTAAAAGGTTTGCGATTTTTATGTCTTTTTTGAAAGCTGTAAGTTCAGTTCCACTTGCACTCTAAGCTGCTCATTTAATGATCTTGATTTAATGTGTCTTTAGTAGAATTAGGAATTTATTGCAATTTTGGTATAAAAAAAGGTTTGAGTTCTCCATTTGAGTTGTACTCCCATTAGCCTTCTTAGTCTTATCAATTTAAAAGGTTTATAGTAAAGATTGACGGTTTGAATGTGTTACTATGTATCTCATAGTATGTTTGTTTGTATGTTGAGATTAGATTGTGGGATCATAATACAGATTTTAACATTAAATATTTCAGTTGAATATTTTGTTTTGGATGAAAGTGATCAATAAATGTGCTGGAAATAATAAGTTTTAGAAATGTACTAGATGTTACCAAATTGAAGGGTAATTATTCAATTGTATGTATAATAGATTTGTTCGTCAAAATGCACGTCCTTGAAAATGACTATATATTATGTTCGTAATTCTCATGTGCTTATCTCTGTTTAGGTCAAAACTTCACATGGAGGATGCATTATCAGCTGTAGAGGTATGGTTTCTTCCCCTAAAAGATTCCATAGCTATTTCTTACTTTTGTCTATATTTAGTATTTTTGTTGTTTGCTTGCTTGCTAGGTAACCACTTCTGTGTTATTATTAACTAGATTTATACTTCACTTTTATTGACATCGAAAATGGCATGTGTCATTCATCCTTTGTGCTGCCTCTATATATATGATTTTATTTTCATACCGCAACCATCAGTAGTGCCATTTTCTGTGTTTATCTAATGTTTGAATTTCCCCCTTCCTTTTCTGCAGCACGATAATGCCTCTGGCGATAGCCGTGATACAAAGAAAGTTGACATCCCTAGATATGCTGTGAGTTTCTTGATATGGCAGATAATCATTAGTTTTATACTCTGCTTCTATAGATAGTTCAGTTAATTGAGTGGAATCGTAGTTCCGTTTATAAAATTATGCTACTTTAGTGAATCCTTTAACCTTTATATACCAAACAAAGAAAAATCCAATACTTCTCATTATATCCTGCAGTTCTCTGTGTTTATTAGACTTTAGTCAGTGCCGCAAGCATATATATTAAGTGGTGTTTCTCTTCTTGTTAATAGATTGTACTGCGCTTTATTTGGTTGTTATCTGCAGTATTTGCTGCCATATTGATATTAAGGCTATGCTTGGATGAAAGGATGGAAAAAGCGGAGGGATGGATAATTGCAATATGGATTTTCTGTCCTTCGAGGAGACAACACTATTTCCCTTCCTTTGGCTGTGAATAGGGGTGGAAAATGAGAGGAAAAGAAGAAAATATGAGAGATGAAAAATAATTGTTCCTTTCCTCCTACTTTTCATTCCATACGAACAATAAAAATCACTGCCCTTTCATTTTCCATCCTTCTGTTTCACATCTACCAGTAGTTTCTGCCCTACCAAATGCGCTTAATGAAATTCAATGTTTCATTTGGTGGTTTTAAACTTCCACGCTCTATTTTTCTATTCCTCCTTTTATGGTTCTTTATTTTTCTTTTCAGACAGTATGATAACGTAGTTATATGTCAATAGGTGATACGTACCTCAAAAGGCTCAATAACTGTGGAAATTTACAAGGAAGGTTCTTCTCCTGAGGTTGTCGAGAAATTTGTTGACTCATGGTATGTATTTGATCAATCTTTTTATATATCCATCACATTAGTGTCTCGAAAATATGCCACTTTTGGTTCTGTTGCCTAGTGTTTGCTTCTCCCAGTGACATTTGGTTCTTGTACTTTGACATTTAAGAATTTGATACTCCGTTATCTGTTAAAGTTACACACCTCAACGAAGAGATGGACTTATCCTCATAAATACTCTTGGAATTCAAAGAGTGCAGCTACTAATGGTCTGTGGCTTGGCTTTTTGGGTGAGAATTTTATCAACATGAATGTACAAGCATGTTAACATGAGCTGTGAGTCAAAATGAACGACACTGTAGACGCTTCCGGATTTGGATGCCACTGTCCTAAGATTTTCGTTATTACTGAATATTGCTCGATCATTTCAAGGAGAGATGCGAGGTTTTTTCCACACTCTACTGTCAAATATAAATATTGTTCATTTATGTAATGAATCAATTTCCTGCGACAAACTCCACAACTCTTCTCAGAAAAGGGTGGAAGTAGTAGAAAGTTTATTTGCTTTCAGATGTCTTTTTTGTTCTCTCAAACTTTTGTTTGTTAGTACTTATTGATCTTTTCATTTTGAATGTTCTGGGAGGGCATTATTGAAACCCCAATTGGGATATATATTAACCCAAACAAATTTACAGTTTGAAGGGGCGCTTTAAAGGAATGGTCTTTAACCGTGTAATAAAGAACTTTGTCATTCAAGGGGGTGATGATGATAGTACCGGAACTACTGAAGACTGGACTTCAAAGGGAAAGCATTATAGTCAACTTGATACAAGGTTTGCTCCACTTCCATGGGCTTCTTTGAAATCTTTTATTGATCAATTTGTCATGGCTAAAAGCTTTGCTTTCATTCTTGACCCAGCCTGAAGCATGAAGCTTTTATGCTTGGCACTTCTAAGACAAAACATGATGGGGGCAGATTCGATCTTTTAATTACAACTGCACCAATTCCAGACTTAAACGAGAAAGTTAATGTATTTGGACGTGTCATCAAGGGAGAAGATGTTGTACAGGTGACATCTTGATTATTATTTATGTAACTTTTCTTTTTGATGCTACGAGAACCCACTCAGACCAGCTGTTCTGAATGGAAACCTCCGTTTTTCCATTATTTAGCGCTAAAACCTCATGGATGAAATAGCCCCTTTCCCAGATTTTTCTTCACGGTTTATAATAATTATTGCATGATCTTCTGGCCAGTTTGGCTGACTATATGAACCTTGTATATGCTTTCTCGTCCTGTCTTCAAAGGCACATAAAGCTGCCCTTTTAGTCCCTACTTTTGTTCCTCCTTTGCCATTGTTTTACATACCATCACGAAGCATTTCTGAAATTTTTTGATGTTTTCTAAGATTTAAAATCAAATCTTGGTCTGGTCGTCAAGCATTTGAATGATGATACAAATCATCCCATATCAATTAACCAAATTTTGTGCTTTCTGTTGTATGCTTTCCAGGAAATTGAAGAGGTGGACACAGATGAGCATTATCGGCCCAAAGCTCCAATAGCTATCATCGAAGTGACTCTAAAACAGAAAATTTAGAAGATTTAATGTTCCTCTTGACAGCTTTTCATGTCACGCAACAAAATCATTTAATGTTGAAGAAAGAAAGCCTCTTCATGAGTGTTGATTTGTTCCCTCGGCTTTTTCACTTGTGATTTCTTGTTTCTTTTATATTACACCACGTGCAGCTTCGGATCCTGATAGAAAAAAGCTTGGTTTACTCTGTTTGTATAATTTTCTTAGATTTTTCCACACAATTTGCTTCAGCCATCTAAATTTCTATATTATAGATTATGTCATGGTAGGCAGTTAACATACCAAATATTGTCTTCAGAGAAATTCATGGATCTCCAGTACCATCATGTACCTATTTTGAGACATTTGAGAGATTTTTGTATTTAGGACTTAACATTGGGAATTAAAGTAAGATAGCTTTTAAATACATTAACTTTAATGGTAAAGAGCATCTTCATGAGAATTTTTAAATTTAAAGAGCTTGTCGTGCATAATTTTTAAATTTAAAGAGAGGAAGTTTTAATATATTTCAATAGACTTTCTTTTTTTGCTCTTTATTTTACACACACATCTATTATTCCAAGATGTGAAGCATTGAAATTCGTTACTTTGTTGAATTCAATCATTATGAAGTAAAAATAAAGAGTGACTTTTAATAGATTTTTTTAAATTTAAGACGTTTTGTATTTTATAGAGTACCATTGAAATTAAGTTTCGAGAGACATTTTATTATTACATTTTAAAAATAAAATGGGAGTTTAACTATCCATATTTGGAGAGTCAAATTCACTATTGAGTTATCATGATTGCATCTATTAAGATTGTAAGTTTCAATACTCCACTATTTAAATTATTTATATTATATTGAATATTTAGCTATTAGCTTGTTTGAGGCCGATTTTATTGTAAGATACTAGTAGATTGTTGGAACATGCGTGATTAAAAAATAAGGAAAAATTTTGAATTTATGTGTAATATTACTTTATTAAAGAATGTGTGTTTAAAAAAGAATAGAAAAAAAAATGTATTTTAAAAATAATGGGAATCAAACATGGGCTATATATACGAAATTGACCTCCTGAGTACCGTTGCTTAACTTGATGTGGCACTGTAACCAATTATTATCTCTCATCACTTGTTATAATGTGCCATGTGCATGATTGATCAAAAAAGTAAACTAAAAGAGATTGTTGAAGTACATAAAAAAATTGCTATTTAAATTTAAGAGGTGGTTTGATAAAGCTTTTGATAATAAATATGTTCTCTGTTAATAGTCTAAGACTACGATGTTCTTTCAAAAATAAAGAGTCAAAACGAATACATTAATATTTCTTTCATCAAACATGCAAACATAACCAAACATCACACACTCACTCACTCTCTCTCTCTCTCTCAATGAAATTTTATTTTTGAAAAGTTTAAAATAATGTGCTTTTAATAAAGACAATTACACATTAACAAGCACATTTTGAATTTAGGACTTTTAATGTTAGAGATCTACCAAGCTAAACGACATGATTCATCAATTATTTGTAAATCATTTTATATTCGACATCTGCAATGAATTTATTCACTAATTGACTGATGTATCATATATATTAAGCACCTACACTTAATACACCTTTTCTATTTAATGTTCAGAATTACATTTTATATTAAGAGACACTTTTTTTAAGTACATTAATCGACTCGATCATCCTCGTCACAATTTCCTCTAAATGTGAATTTTCATCATTTTGAATTCTATGGGATTTGGTAACGTAGGAATTTCTGCAGTAGTCCTCGAGAACAGTTATTGTGTTGAACCTTCTAGGTTGAAACATGCTTAGTCATGCACAAGCACAGCACTGCCAGTATCAGGCCATTTTCTGTGGCCGCCAATCCCTGCAGCAAGGATCCGCAGCCCTCTGGTCTAGGGCCAATATTTCTTTGAAAAATAAAGAAACAGATGAAAATTTATGAAAAAATAATGATTCGACTCGTCGAGGACCAATTGAGAACCAGGTTGTGGGTTATAACTCATTTTGACATTCTAGGTCTTCAATAGGGTAATTTTAGAGTGACATTGTGACCACTAAATAATTAGAATTCTCATAAATTTGAAGTCAAATATATGAATCTTTCCCCAAAACTTTAGGTACAATATATGAAAAATAGAAACATCACCCTGCAAATTTGACAATAGAAAGTGCACAGGAATTCTATTACCACGCAAGAATTCTCCCATTCCAGAGAGTGCAGCAATACAAGGAGATGCATCAAAAGCACAGGAAAAATCTCTCGATGCTATTTGTTAAGATTCCATCCAGGAACTGGGTTTTTGAAGTAAAATTAATTTTTTTCTGAAAAAAAAAAAAAATCTACTTAGGCGGTTTGTGCATTCCCATGAAATGAAGAAAATTTAATACAATCATCTAAAATCTCTTATTCTAACAGTAGACAGAATTCGGTAAAATGATTAACTAGCGTGCTTTAAACATGGAAGCAATTGTGACTAGCCTTCAAAAAGTAAAAATTTTGATAGATACACTAACTTAGATTAAAGAAAATACAGGAAAGCACTTTGGCACCATTAGACACACACACACACACGATACAATGGCACTTTAAATTAAATTAAAAGGTATTGAGCTACCAGCAAATTGTCCTCTACGGATTACTGATCCCAACCAGAGGGTCTCCGCCTTTCTCTAGGCCTATCTCTGGAACTGCAAGCAAAACCAAAACGACAAAAGGAAAAATTATTAACAATTATAGTTAAAAAAAAATGCAAGTTTTAACACCGAAATTGAAGATTTGCACGTGAATCTTTAATTATTATTTTTTTCTTATACATGTTAAAACATTCAAATATTTTACTCCAGTCAAAATCATTAAAACTGAGATGGTTTAGTTCGGGAAATTCACCTTTCTGAGCGCTTTTGGTTTGCATTATCTCCTGAGTTCTGAGTGGCAATGTTCAACACAGAAGCAGTGCCAATTGAACCGATTGTCTTAGCAGTATGAATGTCTCCACCTATTGTCCCGCCAGATACAAAGCCCGGCAAAGCCATTCTTTTGGTGGCATGCATGCCTGGATTCTGGTTCACAACCTGATTTTGGGAATTTGATGATGCAGCAACAAAATTGCTTTTAAATTGTGCCATCATCCCTGTCTTCAGAGAATTAACTGCAGCCGAACGACTTGGAACAGGATTTGATGCTGCACTGGATTCTTGATTATACCCAATACCCAGACCAAAATCCACACCTCGCACACCTCGGTTACCACCTCCCCTCCCTTTAGCTCTTTTGCCACCTGTAAATAATATTGAACGCTCAATGAAGGAGCAACATATGATTCTAAAACTCTCCAATAGAAATAAAATATAAACGACAAAAGAAGATCAAACACTAACGTAAGTTTATTTCCTCTAAGGTCACTCCTCATCATAATGAAGAACCCCTCAATAAATATTATGGAGGAGAATACGGAAACACTAGATCATTCAGATGCATGATGCATCAAGAATCTCAATTACTTGAACATATCAAGAAAATTATGAGCATTTCATTTGCAAAATTGAGATCCTTACCTCCTTTCCGTGCATCACGTTTGGATCTGAACCTCCCATCCTAATGATTTACAGGGTAAAAGTCACTCAATCATGAAATATATAAACACCAAGAGCGGAAGCTCTACAGAAATTCAATTTATGATAGAGAACATTTACAAAGAGCAATTGCATATATCCAAAGCGTGAAACATTGCATAAAAAACAGTATTAGACATGTAGAAGGACAAAAAAGCCCTGATAAGAATAGAATTCCACTTGAGACATTCACTACCCACTTAAGCTACTGTTTTCCATTTTACATAGGAATTAACCAGAGAATCATCCCGGACAACTTTGGTATACAACTGATTAATAAACCATTCTGCCATGGTTAACAACAGACTGGTTAAAAGATACATATGCATATTAGTAGTTACGTGATTTCCCTTATGACTTGAGTTTTGAATAATTTTTACTTCTAATAAGTGCCCATTTTTGGTAGAATTGGATGAATGGATGCCAAAGGAGGAAACTCCAAAGTATGTAACATGGTAGGTGTTTTACTACTTTAATCAAGCAGCATCAAAATTTCTCTTAGCTCCAGATTTTAGTTACTTCAACTATCCAAAAATTAAACAAAATATGAGATGATTTCTGGTGTGCAATACATGTATATAAATCATTTTATGCAATTAAAAACAATGGGAAATATGAAATATATAGCATGGCTGTGTAAATTATGCATGAAGTTGAAATTACCTTCATGGCGAGATCCATTAGCTCCATAGATACGTTTTGTCCAGCAGCAATTAAGCTGTTAACTAATTCACCTGCAAACCTGGCCTCCTTGTGTGTTATGAGAGTGAAAGCAGTTCCGTCTTTGTCACCAGCACGACCTGTCCTTCCAATTCGATGGACATGCATGTCCATATCTTTTGCTATATCAAAATTGACCACAGATTTAATTGACTTGATGTCAAGACCACGAGCAGCAACATCAGTTGCAATGAGAACGTGGTATGTTCCAGATTTAAATTTTTGCAGTATCTCCATTCGAGAAGCCTGATCTTTATCACCATGCAGAGCTGCAACTTTGAAACCCCTCTGTGAAACTTGTGATTCAACTTCATCCACTGTGTTCTTTTTTGAAGCAAAAACTAGAACATCACCTTCATCTATCAATGCAGGAAGCCTTTCAAGGAGCCAAGGCATTTTCTCAGCATCTGATGGAATTACTTGAACGACTTGTGTGATATCTTCATTGGCCACACCAACCTCTCCCACAGTAATTCTTACAGGATCAGTCAGTATCTCCCTAGCAAGTTTTTCAACTTTGTGCGGCATAGTCGCTGAGAAGAGTAAGGTTTGTCGATCTGGCCTTATTTGGCCAACAATGGACCTAATTTGTGGCTCAAAACCAAGATCAAACATGCGATCAGCCTCATCTAGTACTAAGTAGGTCGCTCTCAACATTGTCAATGCCTTCATTTTTATCATGTCTATCAGCCTCCCTGGAGTAGCAACAACTATCTCACATCCTGCCTTCAGCTCCTTGAACTGATCGAGTTTAGACATTCCACCATAAACAGCAGAGACGCGAATCCCGTGTGCCTTTGCAAATTTCTTAGCTTCCAAATATATCTGATGAGCTAGTTCCCTAGTAGGTGCACATACTACTCCAATGGGGCCCTCTTCTTTTCCAAGCTCAGGTTGATCCATAATATGGACGATCATGGGAAGCACGAAGGATGCAGTCTTTCCTGAACCAGTTTTGGCTATTCCAATGACGTCTCTTCCAGAAAGCACAATGGGTAAAGCTTGGCACTGTATTGGCGTGGGCTTTTCATATGCTTGTTTTGCTATGGCTTTCATTAGCTCCGCAGAGAAACCACAGTCTTCAAAAGTTCTAACAGGTCTTGGAACATCAAAACCCGACACGCGAATGGCCAAGCTCTTCTTGTACTCAGAAACGTCCTGATCACTCATACCTAGATAAGGAAAAGGAATCAGTATGTGAGACATTGAATCGGGACAAAAGGCAAACACTTTCTTTCCTTCGACTAGAAATTTCTGTAGGAATTCTTTTTTCTCCCCTTGAACTAGAAAATGCAGCATCTTAAAATTTTTTAAGAAGATTCTAGTTCTTCTCATAGACAGTACATCTTATATATAAACCAGCTAACTTAACACACAGTTTCCCCACAGTTAAAGTCTCTGAAAGTATGCTTAATTACCAATCACAACCCAGTCCTTTGATTCTATGAGAGCGTGTATTGTCATGTTTGCATGTATTTATAATTTCATATAATCAACCCATCTGAATATAAAAAAAGTTAACAAACAGAAACCACAGGTACCTAGGTAAACCCTACTTTTTCCTGAATTATCTTGACCCTCAGCTCGCGAAATGGGTGTTAATACTATGAGAACGAAAGTAAAGAAAAATCAAAAACTAGAAGTGTAGGGAAAAATACTAGGCTACGGTTCAATTACCAGAAATGGAGGGCGTTTCCTCGTAGAAATCCTTGTTAAAGGGCTCGTAATCAATCAAGCTATGATCGAGAGCAGGAATAGGCTCAATCTTCTTCTTATCCAAAACAATAGGATTATCATCAGAATCGTACTCAAGCATTCCAGCATCCACCGCCTTAGCCGCGGCATACACCTCCTCATCAGAATTATATCCCGCTTGAAGAGCATCCGCAGCCAATTGTAATCCTACATCTTTCTTCGCTCTCAAGAAACTCTCCATCGGATCCTCCTCTTCATCATCTTTATACTTATCCAACTTCTCCTTTGCCTTCGGTTGCGGCGCCGCCCTCATCTCCTCATGTATACCCTCCATAAACGCATCCAGAGGATCAATCTCATCGTCACCGCCGCCGGCGCCATCAACGGCGTCGTTTTCACGGTCGTCGGCGTACTCAATGTTGTCAAGCTCAGTGTCTTCATAATTGTCGTGGCTGCCTCCAGAGGAGCGAGACGACGGAGGAACGTAGAGCCGTTGAGGAGCTGAGGATCGCTCGAAGTTGTACGTAGCTTGGCGATTCATGCCGAAGCCTTCGAATCCGAATTTTCGTTTCGACATTTTTTTTTTTTTCGGTTAGTATTGAATTGAAAACCTAGGAATTGGGGATTCAAAATGGTTACTTATAAACCTTGCAGAAAAGAGCACGTTTGGGGAGGGTAAACAGTTTGATTACGAATATATAAAAATAAAAGGTTAATAAGTGCAAAAACATAAATTCTAAGCAATTCAATTGTTTGAAAATTATTAATTAAATATATTTAA